AAAACGGTGAGAGAGCAACATATAGTGACTTTTGCTATTTAAACGTCTGCGCAACTACGACTTCATTGACCGCGAGCAAGATGGAAATATTCTGCCCCCTGTCGGAACAATCAGAACGAAGACCTCGCTACACTCCTCGCGCTTTGAAAAACCTTACTATGCATGCATTGATCTGGCTTATCTTTGTGTCGGTATAGTTTCCTCAATAAAGTCTCTAAAATAAGCAGCGCAAATTTTTCTGATATATTGCATCTCTACATCCGTTTCACCTGAAATACCTCATGGTACAATCTTGTGCAGGTCTATGCAATCTGTCGCACCCAAAAAATTAATGTAGTGTGGGAAGAATAGGAGTTGCGAGTTACCTTAAATCAGAGTGATGTGCAAGTCTGTGGAACTTGCTTGTGATCTCCACTCTCTTGTGTACATGCAACTGTTTGACAAAACCTAATATTTCATTTGCATTCTTCTCGGGTAGTGTAATCTCACCAATCGTTGCTTCTTTAAAATTAGATGTCAGCATAGCTTTGAATACAGGTGAGTTTAAAGTCAATATCAGACGATGAACATGAAACCTTTGTCCTTCCACAACAAGAGTTAAGTCCCTGTCTTCCCAGGGCTGGGAAAATGGATTGTCCTCTGTGAAATCAGCCTGCACACGGACATAGCTTTTCTCTGTACGTTAAATAATAATAATAATAATAATAATAATAATAATAATAATAATAATAATAACTAATAATAATTAACAGTACTTGCAGTACTGTTAATTTGTTGAGCTACGAGGGTTAAAAGGTGGACTAATATAAAGGTTGGATAGATTCTGCTACTCATCAGAATATCTTCTTCAACATGAAATCCACAGAACTAAACAGTTTTACAAACTCTTAAAGTGTTCAGAGCAAAGACCTTTCCAGCATCATGCCTTCTCGGTGTAAGGTCGTATAACAATGGGGCAAAATATAAATGATAATCTCTCCTATTCTTGCAGCCACTCAAAGGGTCTGAGAGAAAAATACCCAACTACAAGTTACCTTCAGGTTCTTCGGTCAGGTTGCCTTCGGCCATCCTGCTGGAGCTCGTTTGAACTTCAGTAACACAGTTACGATCTTCACCAAGGTACTCACACCTTCTGCAACCCACACTTTGAAACGTGAATAAACCTTTCTGCAAAATGGTACATTTGTACGGAATCAGTTTTTAATAACTAAGCTTATTGTTCATCAGGAGATACATTGGTACGGAAATATGTACTGAGGCCAACTAAAATTTCAGACATGTCTAAGAAATAAGGGAGCAAGTTCTTGTGTGCGGTCGTTTCGCCTAGAAGACAATTCACCCGAAGCCCCAGCATATTTGAAAGCCCTTTCATCCGGGTGGCACACTAGCTCACTCCCATGGCCAACGCATGATGTTTATAATTTTTACCTGTTTCGTTTTCTCTGTTAAAAGATGATTTCCAATCGGCACTGCGCACTCTCGAGAGTTTATTTACATTTTTTCTTTTGGGTCATGTAAGACGTCACAAAATGTAACATTTCGTAACTAGTTACATAGGTGAATTCAACGTTTCATGTCAACCGCCATCATGATGCGAAGCTTTATACTTCGTTCTTTCTGACAATTCACTTGATGAAACGAATAGGAATAATGCCGTTTGGAACCGCCGTTTTCTACATTTCTAAGCATCCTGTCTTGATTTTGTTTTAATTTTTCTCTTGTTTCTTTATTTCTAAACTTTTTAAGAAAATAGTGAAATCCAAGATGGCGGATCCAAGATGGCGGGTCAAATGACGTCATGAGACGTCATAATTAATAAAGATGGTAAATATATCACATTGTATAGCAAGCTCGAGGCTATCTAATTTATGTAAATTAATTTCTCTGCCTTAACAAAAGGAAAACCCAGGGAAGGCCGGGAGGGGCTCTATCCCCCGCTCCCTTGTACTTTCGGTGTGGGGTGTGAGTTGGTTCAATTCGCTCTTAAAGACGTTTTCAATAAACTCTTCCAAGAAATTGAAGCTCTCTGTATCTCATTGTAATCTGCTGAACCATCTGAACTGGAACTTGGGGAGTGCTCAGATCGACAACGAGGACGTCATCTGAGATCTTAGAGCTCAGTTAGCACACTACGTACCGTATGCGTTACGCGCGGCGCCTAAGACCTAGAAACATCACACTGACGTCATGGGGGCCCGGAGACAACAGTAACAGAAGTTTTAGAAACAGAACAAGTAAAAAGAAGAATATTCAAAACGAAATCACGTCATTTCGTGAAGGTCAGAAAAGCCAGATTATGCTAGTAGTGCTAAATTTAGATAAAAAGCTTGCTGAATTATGCTAAAAATTATGTTAGCGCAATCGACAAAAACCTATTTGTAAAGCACCGGGATCTATGCGCCCTACTCTTTGCGATGCGTGTGTGGCTTCTTTAACGTTCCCTGCTAACCATGTAACACTGAAGATGTAGGAGACGGGGCCTACGGTTTGCTAGTCTTTATCCGAGAAGACTTGAACGTCTAACCATTTGCTGTAATAACAAAAGCAGCACATTCTTCTCAGTTATTTTAACCCTGAGTGTTGGTCCGATCTGGGACTCGAACACTCGATAGGGCTTTCCACAAGTTGCCCGGCAACTTTTTGGAAACTTCTTGTATTTCGAGTAGCTTTTTTTGTTTCGAGCAACTTTTTGCATTCTGAACAATTTTTCTAGTTTCCTACCAATTCTGAGAAATCAGAGCAGATTTTAGTACTTAAATTGGCCTGGACTGGAATTTGGAAAAAATACAAACGGACAGCGATATGTCGAGGAAAAGGTTGTTGAAACAGCGATATGTTGAAACTCTGTTAGCAGTCGAGTGAACGTGCAATAAAAAGAAAGTTACGTGATGATTTGGGCTGCACTTCTAGGCTGAAGTGAAACTAAATCAGTAATGCTTTCTTGAGGTTTAGTTGCCGATCGAGTTTGTATACCATACCACGTATAACGCTATCCTTTATCAACACCGTCGACGATAGTTTTTGGGCAAGAGACTTCTAGCACGCCTCTGTGCCAAAATCCTGCGGTGGCAATAAATCAAACTACACCATAAGCAAAATCCAGAGAATACAATTTTTCTACTGGTCTTTGAGCATTGTCGTCACTGCTTAACTTATTTAGTTTCTTTAGAAATGAGACCGCCGCATCTTATGAATTTATGAGTAAAACTGTTTGAAATCTACTGACCTTAATATGAATACTCCTAAGCTCATAGCTGATTACACTCAGGTATAGTTCTCTATTATGGAGAAAATTCTATTTTATCACTTAATAACCGGAGCTTGAGTAAAAAATAAGAGTGAGCTCGAATACTCAGAGCTAGTAGTTCTTTACTGGACAGTTTTTCATTACTAGTTCTTCAGCTTGGAGAAATCTTGCATAACAGAGAACAGGTTAGAATCGAAATGATCGTCGTCGTCATCTGTGACACGACAGCGGGTTCGATGAACCATTTGACCGCTCAACATGCTTTTACATTCTGGACAGTCTCTGATTTGTAAATAGGAAACTGGTCGATGAAATGCTCTACAGTAGCCGTCGACGTGCGTTTCGCACAATTTCACTTTGTAGTTACTATCTCTGTGTATCAGGGGTATCAGAGTCACCACTAACCCGAAAAACTGGGGATACACCTCGTCAAGAATCGTCTCTAATCGTTCAATCCTTTGTGTCAGGTAATATTGTGTCTGTTCCTTGTCGAGATCTTGCAAATGAACAGTTTCTGAAAGGGACTCAAGTCTCATATTCTTGAGCAGGTCGATGCAGCCCTGATGTACCCTCTCCAGGTTGTACAATTTTGCCAGCGCCAGAATCTTCATGACGTTTTCTTTTGTTTTAGGTTGGTCCTCGAGAAACTTCACACAAGGGTCGAATATGAGTTGTTTTACCTGATACTCGTGACTTAATTGTAGAAGATCTTCCACATTTTCCACTAAAAACATTGAAAGGAAAGGTCTAAATTAGACAAAAGCCCAAATTTACTTTTCAGAGGTAAATAGCGCCAGGCAAGTTGCGATGTTACTGTGAAAGACTTTCCTAAACATCTTAGCTTCGAAGCAAGCTAGAAGGTCCAAAGATTTTGTATGACCGTAGGATAATTCCTCTCCAGCGGAAACATTTGCCATGTACGTTAGCTTTAATTATGTTGCAAAAATACTTACTTGTAATTTCCACTCTCTCTTGGATGTATTGGAAGCCGTAAATTATCTTCAGAAAGTCCAGAACACCACTGGCATTTTTCTCAGGCAGAGGAATCTCGTTGGTTGTGGCTTCTTTAAATTGTGATTTGAACATAGCCTTGAACACTGGAGAGTTCATACTCAGTATCAGACGATGAACATGAAACTTCTCATTCTTCACCACGAGAATTACGTCACTATCTTCCCAGGGTTCAGAAAAGCAATGCTTCACCTTCTTTTCTGATTGGTCTCCTCCTACAGACGGAAAGGTGTTGGTAAAATAAGCCAAATNACAGTAAAGTAAAATGGTAATTTACAATATGTTTTTCATTGGCTAACCGTTCTCTGTTTGACTGGCAACAGGTCATCATGATTTTCCATTTCTTTAGCAATTGAGCAGTTTTTAAGTTTTTTCGTGGCTTACTTAAGTCGAACAATGCTTCTCCCTACTGACCAAGTGTATAAATGAGAACTAGGGGTATTAAGCCCTGCGGGGTACTATCATGTCACCAGGGAGCGAGTAGGAATACTTCTACTTGCTTGATACTACAGAAATGGCCCGATGCCGATTCGCTTCTTGATTTGACGTTATTATTTGTTTTAATCGGAAGAATTTCTAAATACAAAACCCAACAACGATGCAGTTCTGAAAGTCTACTTTGGTACACGATTGTTCTTTTTAAGCACTAGGAACAGAATTCAATCAGTTAAGTTTCAATGAGCTCGTAAATATATAATGAACAAAACATTAAGAATTTTTTATTTAACCCAACATTGGCCCAACAGCAATGCCGTTTTTAACGTCTACTTTCTTACACGATTGTTCTTATTAAGCACTAGGAGCAGAATCCAGTCAGTTAAGTTATCTTTCAATAAACTCGTGAATAGATAATGAACAGGACAACAAGAATTTTGAATTAAAATTTCTTTTCGCCGATTTTCAATTCATGTTACACTGGTTCCACAAGTTTTCTCACGGCGCGTCAGTTAAAAACCTTTAGGACCTACCAAGGTCGACCCAGGTAAATTCACGCAATACTTGAGGAACCTCTTTCATCCAACGGTACCGGTCTAATCAGCTAAATCAAACAACTTTTCCAAAACTTTCAAAAGGTTACTGTCAAAGTGATCGCCGTTGCGGGTAGTGTAAGAACAGGAAGGAGTGTAGCTCTCAGAACTCCGGTAATAACCTCTGGATCTGAAGTCATTAGCAGCATCAACGGTGTTAAAAGCCAAGCAATGAATTACGTGTTTGTAGGCAGAGCACGATCGCAAGCAATTTCTTATGCATACTTTTGTTTTCCCATTGGGAAGGTGGGTCGGGCACCAAGCCATAGGCTTCTTGGCTTCGCTCCACAACCATGTGGTGCAAGCCACAATTCTTGCAACTTGAGGACTGAGGTCCTTGATAAATTCTTCTGAACATATCATTCTTGGAAGGAGAATGCCTAGGAGGTTATCGTTGTTAAGCAATGGTAATTGTTCATACTTTTCAAGTCTGTCCAACTTTATTCCCGCCAGTAAATTACGGCAATCTTCGCCTATACTTGAGAGACCGTATTGCTGAGCGAGAAGAAGAATCTTCATGGCATTGGACTCTGTTTTAGGTTCATTCTTGAGACAACGGGCACACAGGTCAAGGACTCCCTTTGCTTGGTACTCGTCAGCGAGTTTCAGCAAGTGTTCCACATTATTCATTGAAAAATAATCCATAGCGGACTACCTCTGAAAAGAACGTCACACTCAAAATGTTAAGTAATTACCGTTAATCAATGCCAACTAATAAAAGGTGCACAGTGTGTACACGTGGCTACGTGTTTACTTTTATATCGAGCGCATCGGGCAAATACGTTTTTCTGTGATGTATTTGTTTGATACGGGGCATTGGCTTTGGAAGGCTATTCATGATAAAAGTGAATAAAGAGCTGGAAACTTGTTTGAAAGCAAAATCAAAATATTGATCGACTAGATATGTTAAGCCGGTTTGAAGACTGTTGACTCCTGCAGATAGTTCACTTGATATTTTGGATTCTTCTGCGTCTTGTAAACTGCGTATTTGTTGCGACGTCTGCACCATTTTTACAAAAATTTTAAAATTTTGTCACTTTTCTCCGCTTTATTAGTTATTTGTGGCAAACAACAAGTACACAAGGATGCACTCGATTATAAAGCAGTAAATAGAGAGATAGGTTATTTGTTGGCCTGCTCAGTCCGAGTTCCTTTCAGCGAAAAACGGTGAGAGAGCAACATATAGTGACTTTTGCTATTTAAACGTCTGCGCAACTACGACTTCATTGACCGCGAGCAAGATGGAAATATTCTGCCCCCTGTCGGAACAATCAGAACGAAGACCTCGCTACACTCCTCGCGCTTTGAAAAACCTTACTATGCATGCATTGATCTGGCTTATCTTTGTGTCGGTATAGTTTCCTCAATAAAGTCTCTAAAATAAGCAGCGCAAATTTTTCTGATATATTGCATCTCTACATCCGTTTCACCTGAAATACCTCATGGTACAATCTTGTGCAGGTCTATGCAATCTGTCGCACCCAAAAAATTAATGTAGTGTGGGAAGAATAGGAGTTGCGAGTTACCTTAAATCAGAGTGATGTGCAAGTCTGTGGAACTTGCTTGTGATCTCCACTCTCTTGTGTACATGCAACTGTTTGACAAAACCTAATATTTCATTTGCATTCTTCTCGGGTAGTGTAATCTCACCAATCGTTGCTTCTTTAAAATTAGATGTCAGCATAGCTTTGAATACAGGTGAGTTTAAAGTCAATATCAGACGATGAACATGAAACCTTTGTCCTTCCACAACAAGAGTTAAGTCCCTGTCTTCCCAGGGCTGGGAAAATGGATTGTCCTCTGTGAAATCAGCCTGCACACGGACATAGCTTTTCTCTGTACGTTAAATAATAATAATAATAATAATAATAATAATAATAATAATAATAATAATAACTAATAATAATTAACAGTACTTGCAGTACTGTTAATTTGTTGAGCTACGAGGGTTAAAAGGTGGACTAATATAAAGGTTGGATAGATTCTGCTACTCATCAGAATATCTTCTTCAACATGAAATCCACAGAACTAAACAGTTTTACAAACTCTTAAAGTGTTCAGAGCAAAGACCTTTCCAGCATCATGCCTTCTCGGTGTAAGGTCGTATAACAATGGGGCAAAATATAAATGATAATCTCTCCTATTCTTGCAGCCACTCAAAGGGTCTGAGAGAAAAATACCCAACTACAAGTTACCTTCAGGTTCTTCGGTCAGGTTGCCTTCGGCCATCCTGCTGGAGCTCGTTTGAACTTCAGTAACACAGTTACGATCTTCACCAAGGTACTCACACCTTCTGCAACCCACACTTTGAAACGTGAATAAACCTTTCTGCAAAATGGTACATTTGTACGGAATCAGTTTTTAATAACTAAGCTTATTGTTCATCAGGAGATACATTGGTACGGAAATATGTACTGAGGCCAACTAAAATTTCAGACATGTCTAAGAAATAAGGGAGCAAGTTCTTGTGTGCGGTCGTTTCGCCTAGAAGACAATTCACCCGAAGCCCCAGCATATTTGAAAGCCCTTTCATCCGGGTGGCACACTAGCTCACTCCCATGGCCAACGCATGATGTTTATAATTTTTACCTGTTTCGTTTTCTCTGTTAAAAGATGATTTCCAATCGGCACTGCGCACTCTCGAGAGTTTATTTACATTTTTTCTTTTGGGTCATGTAAGACGTCACAAAATGTAACATTTCGTAACTAGTTACATAGGTGAATTCAACGTTTCATGTCAACCGCCATCATGATGCGAAGCTTTATACTTCGTTCTTTCTGACAATTCACTTGATGAAACGAATAGGAATAATGCCGTTTGGAACCGCCGTTTTCTACATTTCTAAGCATCCTGTCTTGATTTTGTTTTAATTTTTCTCTTGTTTCTTTATTTCTAAACTTTTTAAGAAAATAGTGAAATCCAAGATGGCGGATCCAAGATGGCGGGTCAAATGACGTCATGAGACGTCATAATTAATAAAGATGGTAAATATATCACATTGTATAGCAAGCTCGAGGCTATCTAATTTATGTAAATTAATTTCTCTGCCTTAACAAAAGGAAAACCCAGGGAAGGCCGGGAGGGGCTCTATCCCCCGCTCCCTTGTACTTTCGGTGTGGGGTGTGAGTTGGTTCAATTCGCTCTTAAAGACGTTTTCAATAAACTCTTCCAAGAAATTGAAGCTCTCTGTATCTCATTGTAATCTGCTGAACCATCTGAACTGGAACTTGGGGAGTGCTCAGATCGACAACGAGGACGTCATCTGAGATCTTAGAGCTCAGTTAGCACACTACGTACCGTATGCGTTACGCGCGGCGCCTAAGACCTAGAAACATCACACTGACGTCATGGGGGCCCGGAGACAACAGTAACAGAAGTTTTAGAAACAGAACAAGTAAAAAGAAGAATATTCAAAACGAAATCACGTCATTTCGTGAAGGTCAGAAAAGCCAGATTATGCTAGTAGTGCTAAATTTAGATAAAAAGCTTGCTGAATTATGCTAAAAATTATGTTAGCGCAATCGACAAAAACCTATTTGTAAAGCACCGGGATCTATGCGCCCTACTCTTTGCGATGCGTGTGTGGCTTCTTTAACGTTCCCTGCTAACCATGTAACACTGAAGATGTAGGAGACGGGGCCTACGGTTTGCTAGTCTTTATCCGAGAAGACTTGAACGTCTAACCATTTGCTGTAATAACAAAAGCAGCACATTCTTCTCAGTTATTTTAACCCTGAGTGTTGGTCCGATCTGGGACTCGAACACTCGATAGGGCTTTCCACAAGTTGCCCGGCAACTTTTTGGAAACTTCTTGTATTTCGAGTAGCTTTTTTTGTTTCGAGCAACTTTTTGCATTCTGAACAATTTTTCTAGTTTCCTACCAATTCTGAGAAATCAGAGCAGATTTTAGTACTTAAATTGGCCTGGACTGGAATTTGGAAAAAATACAAACGGACAGCGATATGTCGAGGAAAAGGTTGTTGAAACAGCGATATGTTGAAACTCTGTTAGCAGTCGAGTGAACGTGCAATAAAAAGAAAGTTACGTGATGATTTGGGCTGCACTTCTAGGCTGAAGTGAAACTAAATCAGTAATGCTTTCTTGAGGTTTAGTTGCCGATCGAGTTTGTATACCATACCACGTATAACGCTATCCTTTATCAACACCGTCGACGATAGTTTTTGGGCAAGAGACTTCTAGCACGCCTCTGTGCCAAAATCCTGCGGTGGCAATAAATCAAACTACACCATAAGCAAAATCCAGAGAATACAATTTTTCTACTGGTCTTTGAGCATTGTCGTCACTGCTTAACTTATTTAGTTTCTTTAGAAATGAGACCGCCGCATCTTATGAATTTATGAGTAAAACTGTTTGAAATCTACTGACCTTAATATGAATACTCCTAAGCTCATAGCTGATTACACTCAGGTATAGTTCTCTATTATGGAGAAAATTCTATTTTATCACTTAATAACCGGAGCTTGAGTAAAAAATAAGAGTGAGCTCGAATACTCAGAGCTAGTAGTTCTTTACTGGACAGTTTTTCATTACTAGTTCTTCAGCTTGGAGAAATCTTGCATAACAGAGAACAGGTTAGAATCGAAATGATCGTCGTCGTCATCTGTGACACGACAGCGGGTTCGATGAACCATTTGACCGCTCAACATGCTTTTACATTCTGGACAGTCTCTGATTTGTAAATAGGAAACTGGTCGATGAAATGCTCTACAGTAGCCGTCGACGTGCGTTTCGCACAATTTCACTTTGTAGTTACTATCTCTGTGTATCAGGGGTATCAGAGTCACCACTAACCCGAAAAACTGGGGATACACCTCGTCAAGAATCGTCTCTAATCGTTCAATCCTTTGTGTCAGGTAATATTGTGTCTGTTCCTTGTCGAGATCTTGCAAATGAACAGTTTCTGAAAGGGACTCAAGTCTCATATTCTTGAGCAGGTCGATGCAGCCCTGATGTACCCTCTCCAGGTTGTACAATTTTGCCAGCGCCAGAATCTTCATGACGTTTTCTTTTGTTTTAGGTTGGTCCTCGAGAAACTTCACACAAGGGTCGAATATGAGTTGTTTTACCTGATACTCGTGACTTAATTGTAGAAGATCTTCCACATTTTCCACTAAAAACATTGAAAGGAAAGGTCTAAATTAGACAAAAGCCCAAATTTACTTTTCAGAGGTAAATAGCGCCAGGCAAGTTGCGATGTTACTGTGAAAGACTTTCCTAAACATCTTAGCTTCGAAGCAAGCTAGAAGGTCCAAAGATTTTGTATGACCGTAGGATAATTCCTCTCCAGCGGAAACATTTGCCATGTACGTTAGCTTTAATTATGTTGCAAAAATACTTACTTGTAATTTCCACTCTCTCTTGGATGTATTGGAAGCCGTAAATTATCTTCAGAAAGTCCAGAACACCACTGGCATTTTTCTCAGGCAGAGGAATCTCGTTGGTTGTGGCTTCTTTAAATTGTGATTTGAACATAGCCTTGAACACTGGAGAGTTCATACTCAGTATCAGACGATGAACATGAAACTTCTCATTCTTCACCACGAGAATTACGTCACTATCTTCCCAGGGTTCAGAAAAGCAATGCTTCACCTTCTTTTCTGATTGGTCTCCTCCTACAGACGGAAAGGTGTTGGTAAAATAAGCCAAAT